TCTACTTTCATTCCATCCTCTTTTACTAATTTTGCCATGCATGTCTTTGTTCAAAATTTAATACCTTTTTCTTCCCCTAATTAGGGCCGGACAATTAGAAAAATATGTTTAGATACCCTTATTTCTTTCCGACTTATCATTAATGTCCTTTCGTTTTGACACTTTCGAGACAAAATCCAACAAGAAAGAAAGAGAGTGTGGAGAGTTCGAACAAGAAAACAATTTTGCAATTAGCCTCAATTTGATAATCATTAAAAATAGTTTTTTTTTTTTTTTTTGGGGGGAAAAGCGTCTTGAGATAGTGTTTTTTTTAGAATGTGTGGTTAAAAAATAAGAAAAAATTTTAATTTAAGCATAAAATATTTTATTGTGAGAATGTGAAATTAAAAATGAGTTTGAGAAAAAAAAATTAGTTTTATTTCAATGGTTGTCAAACATGAGCTTTAAGATTAAATTATAGAAAACAACTTTACAATTAGCCTCAATTTGATAATCATTAAAAGTAGTTTTTTTTTTCTTTAGCGTTTTGAAATGGTGAGTTTTTAAGAATTTGTGGTTAAAAAGTAAGAATTTTTTTTTTTTTTTTTGTGAGAATGTGTGATTAAAAATGAATTTGAGGAAAAAAAAAAGGTTTCATTTTGATAGGTGTCAAACATGAGAAGATTAAATAATAGATTCACAAGAACCTATTTTGGTGCAAGCGGCTTTTGAAAAAGTTAAAAAGATAAAACTTAAAATACTATGGCCCTATTTGATTCAACTATAAAACTAAATTTTAATATAAATTAAAGTCAATATTTAATTTTAATAATACATTTCATGGGAATCATAATTTCTCAATTGCACATTTCATTAATTTTTATCTACGGAGTTACCGGTTATTCACATTTCCCCTCATCGAAAGCAAAAGGTATTTACTAGCCAGATAGAATGCAACTAAAAACACATACGGCCCTAGGTTTATGATCGATGTGCTGTGATGTGGACCTAGGGTTCAATTTATTTCTCTTGCAGGTAGAATAATACATTTTCTGCCTAACATTTAAATTAGTAAATGCACAGAGCCCAGGGTTTGGTTGATCGTGCCCATACTATACAATATTTTAATGAGTCTTTCAGTGATCTTAAATCAATAGATATTGCAATATGCACATTAAAATTTAGATAATGAGTTATATAATGTCACATGTCACTTTATCATTTGTCAGTTTGAAACATTGTTAACTTTTTCATCCATTCTTTTTCCTCCAAATCATTTATATGATTCTTTATGTACCATTTTTATGTACAAGTAACATAATTCTTGATGTTGAGTGGTGTAGTCAAGTTGATGATATTGGTTGACTAAAATTTAATGTAAAAAATATTAATTTTAAATTATTTTTCGAAAACTAAAGACTTCAACGATTTTGATTTGGAATTAGGGTAGTAAAAAATTTCTCACGATTGAACAAATGTGAGTGTCCTGGGTAGACATGTTAAGACAAGTGAATAGGCTCGGTCGATCCACCTATATCCAAACTCAATTCAGTTATATTACGATACTATATTTGTTCATTAAAAAATATTCAAATTAGAAACTAAAATGACCAGCTAGTCAAGGTCGAGTCAATTTTAAATATAATGAAGTTTAATTTTGTTTCGGTGACAATGAGAAACCACGAATTTTGTCACGCTTTCGATCTTTTAATTAAAAAAATAGAAAATTAAATTTGTAAGTAGTTTTTATTTTATTTCGACTTTTTATTTTTGTCATTGTTTCGTATAGATTCTTTAAAATTCATCTTTTTATAACTCATTTTTTAAATACGTAAAAAAATAATTTTACATATGGACTTATAAATTTTTCATATTTTATGGTATAATCTTAAAAAGTATCACTTTTCACAAAATTTATTATTAAAAAAATACAGATCAAACATGTCTTAATTGTCAAATGCTGATAGATTGTTGTTTTAACTTGTAACAACATCTAACACAAAATCATAATTCAATTCTCGTGATTATTATTGGTTGGGTCGAATTGGAGTGACTAAGTTTATATATTGATTGGTTGGTTTGGAGTGTCAAGACCAATTCAGAATCAAATTTATTCAGAGTTGGTCCTGTAATTGTTGGGGCCTGAGGCGAAGTCATTAAATTAGGCCCTTGGTGAAATCAATGCAAATGCAAAATTCAACGATGTATTATGTGACCCATTACTAACTTAAAAAACTAACATTAAAACAACCAAATATATTATATAAAAAGATTTATATTATAAACTATTAAAATCAACAATGTTTCAAACAATTAGTTAAATTCTATTATCTTACTGTTTTAGAGGCAAAAACATCAATTAAATCTGAATAATTTAGTTGCTCAACTATTTCTTTCTCTATTGATAACATATTCAACCCATTTAATCTTTTTTGTGACATTGTTGATTGGAGATAAGTATTGATCAACTTTAATTTTGAAAAATTTCTTTTCACAGATGCAACTGTAATCGATATAGTTAACAAAATTTTGTAAGCAATATAAACATTTGGAAAACAAAACATTCAATGTTTTTAAATATTGTAGCATTTTAATTGCTCTTGTTGCTTCACTTGGTATATAACTTCTCAAGTCTTGTAACTCCGATCATAAGCGATCTCCACTGATGTCCAAACGCCCATCATGTTGAAGATATTACAAGATTCATATAAGAGTTCAACAAACTTGAAAAAGTTGCGCTCCTTAACCTCTTCAAATTAAACAAAAATTCAAATGTATCATCATATTGTTTAAATTGTCCAATCGAGTCCTCAAAGAAGATAGAACTTGATCAATTATGAAAACAAAGTACTTAACTCTAAAAGATTCTTTTGTTGATTGCTTTACCTCATCACTGTTGCTTTCATCAAATTACTTTGTCTTCGAATTGTGCATTTTTTTGTAAATGCAACTTCATTTCCCATTTCGCTTGACTTTTTTTTCATTTCATCCTTAGCAATAGCAAATCCAATTCCTCTATAATCTTCAAGAAATGAAACAACTCCTTGCAAGAGGTCGATAGCATGATCAATATCTAAGTATTCGGTTTGAAGAAATTTACTCACAATATTGACAACATGTAACAACCTGTACAAGATTACCATGCCAAGCAAGAATTCAAAATTCTGAAGTTCATGTATCTGAGGCGAAGTCATTAAATTAGGCCCTTGGTGAAATCAATGCAAATGCAAAATTCAACGATGTATTATGTGACCCATTACTAACTTAAAAAACTAACATTAAAACAACCAAATATATTATATAAAAAGATTTATATTATAAACTATTAAAATCAACAATGTTTCAAACAATTAGTTAAATTCTATTATCTTACTGTTTTAGAGGCAAAAACATCAATTAAATCTGAATAATTTAGTTGCTCAACTATTTCTTTCTCTATTAATAACATATTCAACCCATTTAATCTTTTTTGTGACATTGTTGATTGGAGATAAGTATTGATCAACTTTAATTTTGAAAAATTTCTTTTCACAGATGCAACTGTAATCGATATAGTTAACAAAATTTTGTAAGCAATATAAACATTTGGAAAACAAAACATTCAATGTTTTTAAATATTGTAGCATTTTAATTGCTCTTGTTGCTTCACTTGGTATATAACTTCTCAAGTCTTGTAACTCCGATCATAAGCGATCTCCACTGATGTCCAAACGCCCATCATGTTGAAGATATTACAAGATTCATATAAGAGTTCAACAAACTTGAAAAAGTTGCGCTCCTTAACCTCTTCAAATTAAACAAAAATTCAAATGTATCATCATATTGTTTAAATTGTCCAATCGAGTCCTCAAAGAAGATAGAACTTGATCAATTATGAAAACAAAGTACTTAACTCTAAAAGATTCTTTTGTTGATTGCTTTACCTCATCACTGTTGCTTTCATCAAATTACTTTGTCTTCGAATTGTGCATTTTTTTGTAAATGCAACTTCATTTCCCATTTCGCTTGACTTTTTTTTCATTTCATCCTTAGCAATAGCAAATCCAATTCCTCTATAATCTTCAAGAAATGAAACAACTCCTTGCAAGAGGTCGATAGCATGATCAATATCTAAGTATTCGGTTTGAAGAAATTTACTCACAATATTGACAACATGTAACAACCTGTACTAGATTACCATGCCAAGCAAGAACTCAAAATTCTGAAGTTCATGTATTGCTAACGACTCGATTTCACTCTTCACTTTAGGGTCTTCATTACTTTCTGTCAAATCAAGTAATGTATGTTTTATATATGCAATTTGCTCCATTATAGCATTCACTCTCAACGTGACTTTCCCAACATGTTTGTGACAATGACTTTATTGTCAATTGATAAGTTCATTTTATACACTTATTCAAAATTTTAAAACGATGATATTTAGTTGTTTTTCGAATGAATTATGGTCTAAATTATTGCATTTTGTATTGAATACGTAAAATTCAATGATGGTACGAGAAATTGAAGGAAATAAGCAAAAGTTGCCAAAATTGGAGAAATGGGCTAAGTTGTAAGAGATCCAAAGTTCAGGGACTAAAATATAAATATCAAAAGTTGTGTCGGACCTCGCAATGAAAATTCAAGAGTTCTCGAAGTCAATTGAATAAAGAAAGACATCAGATTGATGAAATATAATCAAATTATGATCATGCATCAAGTTCCAATCGAAGAAATATATGCATCGTTTTTAGACTCATATTAAGATGGTGGGAAATCGATTTTCGAACATTTAATTTTTTTTTTAATTTTCAGCAATGGGAACAAAATTTATCTGCAATTATAAAAAATTATATCCTTTTAATTAATATTTTTATGAAAAATAAAGTCAAACGAACATTTAAAAGATTCAAAATTTCAACCTTATTTCGATAAAAAATTATGACAATCAAATACATTAATTGACAATTCTCCTAAAAACAAATTCTAGCCAAAATTGTTTCTATTCAAATTTCATTATTGCAATTAAATGGGATGCTTGGATCATGAACTTTAAAATTCAAGTATGATGTAATTTCCACTAATATAAAATCCCACCACCCATCCAGTTTCTCCCTCTTCAAGAAATCTCTCAATAGTGTTCTTGCAGAAGAAGAAAATAATCAATTATCAATGGAAGGTGAAGAGGGAACACAGCAGCCCCAGCTTGTGCTCGCAGACAATCTATTCCTCCTCACCCATGGCGACGTTGATGACATCGAAAAAGTCCGCCTCCGTGACGAGGTTTTCAATTACATTATTTCCAACGGTATTCAGCCATTTCTCATAGTTTTTTATTTAACTGGTATTCATTTTTTCGAATTGTGGATGTTAATTTAGGGTTCTGTTTTTGGGTTTTTGTAGATATGGCTCCGTTGTATGAAACCCTAGTTCCTAAGGTGTTGGATTTGGATCAGAAAATCCTAGATTCAATGCGCGCCAAGATCGACGACGAGCTTAGAAAGCTGGACGAAAGGTATGGAATTCAGTTTATATATGCATTTCGGATTGTAGCGCCTTAAACTTTATCCGTGGTTATGCTTGTGGATTGAAGTATGGTATTTCTACTGAGAGTCAGGGATTTATTGGATTGGATGAAGAAAAGTAGATAAATAACTTAGTAATATGATTTGTGGCACCGTATTTTTTGTTTTTTTGGCCGTGCAGTGATTTCCATGTTAGGCCACGTAGGAATCTTATTTAGAATAATATCCCAGAGAAGACCCAGTCCAAGTGGCGTTTGCATTTCTCTTTTTCTGTTTTGCACCTTCATTTTCTTTTTGCACGTATTTTGCTACTGCTGCTGTTGTTTCCTTTAGTTGAGGAGCTGTTATTATGTGCAGGTAACTGCTTGGTTAGTTGTTATAGCTATTGCCTAATGCCTATATATATGTAATGAACATAAATGAAAGGGAGGGAAAAAATTTATTCAATTAACTGTGGTTTTTCTTTCACCCAAAGAAAGAATTATAATTTCAATACTTTTGGCTCTTGACTGGGACCTATCATTCCACTGTGTGTTAGCGAGCTAGCTATACCCACGTGTATAGGCAGTTATCTCTTCATCGTTTTTGACAGTGAACTAAAAGAGTGATCCTATGTATTATGGTTTTGATAATTTCTAGATGTATAAAGCATATCAATCAAGTAATAGAGAAGTATATTACAGGATGGTGGATATGCCATTAGACTGGTAAAACTGCAAGGATGTGTGCTAGAAATTAAAATTACAATCAAATATACTTCTGAACTTTTTGAATTTTTAATCGAGTGTCATGTTGTATGCTTCTGTCCATTTAACTTCTGCAAATGAAATTATTATGTTAATCTCAGTAAATGATGGAAGATACCAAGGGTTCATTTGATTGTAAGAATGGAATTTGGGTGGAAAAAAAAACGAATTTTAGGGAATTGAATTGCCTAGAACTTGTTTTCTTGAGAATTGTCAATTAAACGTGTTTGATTGATATTTTTCACCTTGAAAATGTTGAAATTTCTATCTTTTGGTATTCGTTTAGTTTTGTTTTTCATGAAAATGGTTAATTAAAGGGATAGAATATGTTACAATTGCAAAATATACATATATATTAGAGAAAAAGCTAGAAAACCAATTTCCACCAAAACCAAAGGTAAACCAATTCCTTAAAAATCTGGAAAAAGGGGTCACGTGGGGGGTTGGGTGGAAAACTAATTGCATGGAAAATGGAGCCTTTCAAACAGGCCCTAATGTCTAAATAGAAAAAGAATAAAAATCTTATATTCTAAATGTATAACAACAAACACAAATTATAACAAAAATTATGTATTCTCTAACTAATATTAAATGATATCATATGGAATCAATTTTGATTAGTATTTCTCTTAAGTATATTCTTTCAAATTTTTTGATTTTTGTTACATGAGAGAATATCTTACAATGTCAAATCAGCTGTGGTTGCATGCTTGTATTTCAGTGTACCACTTGCAGTCAAAAAGTGGGTGAAACGAAGATGAGTTATGCTACATGTATAAAGTTGATTGACAAAGTAATATCTACACCAATCATTCCAAAAACAGATTTTTAAATAATTTGAAATCAGTGATCTGGATTTTGCCAACACTTATTTGTCAACTAAATTTGTAAACATACTTTGTACAAATAGCATAATACAACAAAGATTTACAATTTCCTTGAAAAATGCTGCTAGAAGTGGTTGGCTACTTGAGTGTGATAGTGTCCGATAAAATGTTTTGCCTTCTCGGAAGTATAAAAAGCTTCACAGGGCTGTATATATGATAACTCGTTAGAAGCTTTTTGAATCCAACAATTTCCACCACAGAACTCGATACACCACCCAATCATTTGACCTTCAGTCACCGTAAACATTCATAATTGTATTCTTTATTTAATATAATGTGTTCGTGTTGTGCCGTGGTTGTCTGTTGAGTTCTTAAAAACGCTTGATGTTTCTTGAATAAAGTGAAGAGAAATGGGACTTATAACTGTTTAGTCATCTATATATTTTTGGCACAGTCTCTAGTTTGGTCCTCCTTGTTTGTATTATTGAATGGAGCTACCACTAGTTATGTTTTATACCGCTAACCGAATTCTCTCTTGACCGCATGGATTGTTAGATTTCCTCGTGCAATATGTTTGGTAACTGACTTGAAGTGTATTTTTTGGATCGGGATTTGTTACACTTAAAATAATATTGGAGACTAATGATGCACATTTTATGTGCTTTAAAATATATCCTTTTCTTTTTCCTACCGGTTGCACAAAACCAAACTCTAATTATACACCCACTGTTTCTATGTCGTCCAAGACTGTCTTTTTAGGTTTTCTTGGTGTTATTGTTAATATATATATATATATATATATAGATAGATAGTGACTAGTTCATATTTCCTTCTCATCAGTTACCACAGATACGTACTACTGTGTAGTTCTTTTAGGGATCCTTTTGCCATCACCTCCGTCATAATTGTCTTTGGCTTAATTTTTGCTTAGGATTGCTGATGCAGAAGAAAACTTGGGTGAAAGTGAAGTTCGGGAAGCTCACTTGGCAAAATCCTTGTTTTTCGTTAGAATTGGTGACAAGGTGCAGTCATACAGATGTGATCCTTCTATGTGCAGTCGTACAGATTTGAATCCTTCTATGTTTTACTTATGTTATTTTGATTGAAGTTATTCATTGTTCTTAAAAAATCCAGGAAAAGGCACTGGAACAACTCAAGTTAACAGAAAGTAAGACCGTTGCAGTTGGACAAAAGATGGACTTGGTTTTCTACACACTACTGATTGGTTTCTTCCACATGGACTTCAATCTCATCTCTAAAGGCATTGACAAAGCAAAGAAGTAAGGGCCAACATGGATGATAATCTTAGATAAAAAATTTCCTCCTTTCATTTTATTTTGGTTTTGATTTTGACGGTTGGCATGACACAGCTTGTTTGAAGAGGGAGGTGACTGGGAGAGGAAGAACCGTTTGAAAGTGTATGAAGGACTGTATTGCATGTCTACCCGTAACTTCAAGAAAGCAGCAAATCTTTTCCTTGACTCTATCTCAACTTTCACGACTTACGAGATTTTTCCCTATGACACCTTCGTATTTTACACTGTCCTTACAAGCATTATATCCTTGGATAGAGTTTCTCTGAAACAAAAGGTATCCAAATTTTCTTTAAATCATTGTGTTTTAACTTAACTGGAACCTAGTTATTATTTTCTTCCTCTAGTGTGTCTGTGCTTAAGTAAGTATCATTTCTTTCTTATGGTGTTTGTAATACATTGCAGGTAGTAGATGCTCCCGAGATCCTTACTGTCATTGGCAAAATCCCATATTTATCTGACTTCCTGAACTCTCTATATGAATGCCAGTATAAATCATTTTTTTCAGCTTTTGGTAAGTTTTTTTTACTAAACCAAATCTTGGGGATATTGTTATCATAACCCTCAGACAAAAAGTAAGAACAGAGAGTCACTTAGTTTAATAAGAAATATTCACCCATAAGATCACTCAGATGAGTCAGAACCTTATTTTATATTCTGTAGACGTGGGTGAAAGAGAAATCTGAGAAAGAAACTACTATGGATCCTTGTACTGCTATTTGCACCACATGGTTTGACATTATTGTCCTTCTTATTAAAAAAAAAAAAAAAAAAAAAAATTGATGCTCATATTGAACCTGTTCAAACGGTTAACTGGTTTACGATTTGCTTCAATTGAATTTCTATTTTCTTTCAGCTGGCTTGACGGAGCACATTAAGTTGGATCGCTATTTACATCCCCACTTCCGATATTACATGAGGGAGGTCAGAACTGTCGTTTATTCCCAGTTCTTGGAATCCTACAAGAGTGTAACAATTGAGGCTATGGCTAAAGCATTTGGGGTGACAGTAGATTTCATCGATTTGTAAGTTGTTTCATATTATTCTGATTCTCTTGATGAATACTAGATTATGTGTGTGCTCGGTAAAACTTTTAAGTGCTTATAAGTTGTGGATTCTACGTATGTCTTAATAAAAAGTATGTTTGACCAACGCAAATAAAAGTTAAGCATAAACTAGATGTTAGATGTAGACTACTATTGGGGATGTGTAATTGATTATTTACTTCATGTACAGGGAACTATCTCATTACATTGCAGCAGGGAAGTTACACTGCAAGATAGATAAAGTTGCAGGTGTATTGGAAACTAATCGTCCTGATGCAAAGAATGCTCTTTACCAGGCAACAATCAAGCAAGGCGATTTCTTGTTGAACCGCATTCAGAAACTGTCCCGTGTGATCGATCTTTGAGGTTGTAAAAGTTTTTCTTCTTCAAGGCAATGTTGGAATTTAAAATTGAGACTTGTTTTTTGTTGCTTCGTTTAGCTGTACCAATAGCATTTTACTTGTATCCATACAATCTTTTGAAAACTAAAATTCAGACATTGACTTTTTCGAAAACATATAATTTTTGCCGCCACCTGAAATGAGCCCGCTGTGTATGATTTTACAGGTTAGTGCATGCGCCATCCACATTTCGATTGTTTTGTGGTGAAATACATTTGATTCTAAACTTACATGACTTTGTCAAAGCTCGGGAAATTCAGAAGAGGCTCTTCGAAGATGGGTTTACTAAGCGTAGGGTAAAAGTGAAATTTTATGTGGGCCACTGAACTTCATTTTATTTCTAGATGATTATTGTATTGTTGATTTGATCATTCTGTCCATGTTCACTATTGGATTAATGGAAAAACAATATGACAGTTTTGTTATTTGCCAAGTAGACTCTTTCTTAGTTAAATTGTGTCCCGAATAGTGAAATTGTAATAGATGTTTAAGTTAATTGTAAGTGTCTTCTAGATAGGACAAACTTCACTGTCAACGAGAAAATTCTGCAGAAGTGATGTTACTGCTGGTTTTTTTAACTTAAAAATAATATTACATGTTTGGACTCTGTTATTATAATTCTCTTCATCAAACTGTGTAGAGAATTTCATTTTTGCCAATCAACATTTGTAGCTGATTTTGCTCTCGATGGGGCAATGATTCCAAAGTAATGTAAGGTATACGGTTGGAGGGGAGCTAAATTGAAAAGTTAAGCAAGACTACTTGTGCATAATAAAGTTACATAATGATTTACACTTTACATATAGAGAAGGTGTTAAAAATGATATTGAGAAAGAATTTTTTTTTATTATTTACTATTTTTTTCGGTTGAAGAAATTTTAATCAAATCATATCTCATCACATATTGTGTATGTAAATCATTATACAAATTATTATGTACATATAGCATAATAAAAAATGCTTTCATACCAAGCTTTTGAATTGAAATTAAATATTTATTTGAATTGTCCAAGTTTTCATTATGATAATATCCGACTTCAATTTTCTGCCAAATATGGTTAATTCATGTCGATTTTGGTACAAACAAATCATTTAATTTCGATTTGTTTGTAAATCTTGATATTCTGTCTACTGTTCGTTCAGTTTATTTATCTATCTATCTATCTTACAGATTTGACCTGAACGTAAAACTAATGGATGATTGACTTCATCACACTAGGTTACACGTCGCTCAATCTTAAAAATATTTTTTAAAAGAATGTAGGAATTAGAAGAATCTTTTTACACTTCAATTATCTACTAGGGTCCGTTTGATTGCAAAGATGAAATTGAATTGAATTGAAAACGAATTTCAAAAAATTGAATTACCAAGAAATTGTTTTCCTGGGAATTGTAAATTATTGTGTTTGATTGGTATAATTTTTCACGTGAAAAATGTTGAAATTTTGAATCTTTTGGTGTACATTTAGTCTTGTTTTTCATGAAAATTGTCAACTAAATGGATATTTTTTTTTTTTACAATTGTTGATAGATTTTGTTTCCATTGCTATAAATAAATAAATAAATAAATGAAAAGCTGGAAAACCGAATTCCCACGAAAATCGTGGGAATTGTTTTTCCACCATTTCAAGGAAAAGGCACATGTGTGGAGGAAAATGTGGTAATCAAATTCCCTAGAAAATTTAGCAATCAAACACCACATTTTGGTGGAAAATGTCCATTTTCCATGAAAAATATATCCAATTAAACATGGCCTTAGTGTTAATGTTCATGTTAGTAGATAATAGATTGTGTTAGTTTAGGAATGTGGGTGGGAGCAACTATTCCTGACCCTAATCTTGTCGAGAATTTTCAGGAGATAGGGACAAGGAGAGAGCAAGAAGTGAAATATCTTCACTTATCTTGTTTATTTATTTATTTAGATATGATTAAAATTTAAAAACATGAAAATAAAATAAAAATACTCATTACGGGTACGAAAATATTAGGTGAGAAGAACATATTCTCATATCTGCTCTGTTTATTATTTGGAATGACGCAATGCACGAAAAAGAATTTTGTGATTTCTACATTAGTTAGTATGTTGATAGGGGATAATGTTTAAAATGAATGATATGGTAAAAAATTGGAGATGAATGAAGTTTTTAAACTTGGGGTTGCCGTGTTTGATATCAATTATCTAACAATTCATTTTCAATTACAAATTCTCGTAATAAATATTTTACTCATAATTTCAATTTTTTTAACTACATATTTTTCAAAAATTCACGATTATAAAAATCATTTTCAACTAAATGGGTCTTAATCACAGGTCAATTCATTTGTCTATTGTTTCTTGCTACCATTAATAAATCCATTATCCATTTCTTATGCTTAATAGTTAATTCTGATCCTGTTAGAGCAAAATAACTGTCTAACAAAACATGTTACTGTCCAGAGTTAATTGTTCCAATGATTACTGAACTTAGGTTCATGTAATCCATTGGAACAATTAATCCTACTGTCTACTGGCTGTACTTATAGCACCACATTCAGATAGCCATGCATGAGATTTCGTTTGTTTGTTCCATTCCCAGTTGTAGTACGAGATGGTGATATAGAACTTGCTCAAAATTACATTTGTGCGTACGTAAATGTGCATTTGTCTATGTTTGTAAGAAATTTGGCTGTGATTTGATGATTCTAGGTGTTTCAAGTTAAAATGAATTTTGAGAAGGATGCGGAGAAGAGGGGAGCAATGCGGGAGAAGCAGCATGAATTTGCGGCTGTTAAGATTTATAACATGCGCACTGATCTTGGTGGGTTCTTTCTTCCTCAAGGTATTAATTCAATTAATCCTTTTACTTCATTTCCAGTTATTTTTGCTGGACTCGTAAAGGGTTTTTTTGTTTGTTTTTAGCTTTTTTTGGTACTCCCAGTTGGAATTTTTTTTTTTTTTTTTTTTTTTCCCTTTTTGTGTCGCTCTCTTTGAACGACTCGTTATGTGCTGTTAATGTGCAGTTTAATACAATATCAAATTTGGATTCTCAAGAGTATTTGACATTTAATTCTGCTTTTTGATGCTTGCAATGTTATTTGAATCTTGTTAATGGGAATGGTGCAGGTTGCCCAAATTATTGGAAAACCTGACTTGGCCCCAGCCGCATGGGTGAAAAGGCTTGTCAAAATGTGTGATCAATCCCCTGCTACCCCATATGCTGTTGTCAATATTATTCTGGAGAAGGAGTTGGGTAAAAGTGTTGATGATTTGTTTGAAAGATTAGATGTTGAAATCCTTGGTTCTGCATCAATTGCACAGGTATTCCTCGTTGTGCACTCTGTCTGTGTTAAAGGGCATATTCAACTATGTCTGCACTTCTTCCAAGAAACTGGTGCTTGGAATTGGTTTTAGTGAATAATATTCACTTTATTCAAATACAAACTGAACTTGATATCTCGGCACTGGAGGAATGGTTTTAATTTGTGGTTAAATTTTAAAGCGCCCCCATTTTGGAAATGGCAAAAAGATAACTTCTAAGTATCTACTTCTTCAAGTTTTTAAACAAATGGGAAAATGTTTATATCTCCGCAATTGGAGGAATGATTTTAATTCGTGGCAGAACTTCAAAGCGCACGCTTTTAAACAAATTGCACAGAGATTTCCTAAAGTATCTTAGTCTTCAGTTTATTGCTTTTCAGGATGAGGAACCACAGGTGTAGGTAGTTTTGCACCTACATTGATGCTAAACGTATCTCAGAAAATGTTGCAGTTAAATATAAGATTTAAATTTTACTGTTAAAAATTCATCTTGGAAATGATCTCATAACCTCCATAGACAGAATCTCAGATTCTTAAACCATATAGACGCCGCCACATTTTTTTCTTATTTTCTGAAATGTTAGGAAAAGGATTGATAAATGTATCTGTTTGTGCTAATGGATGTCATATCCCGACCACTTTAATGTATAATTTGTAGGAAATTCAGTGTATGTGGATAAAATCGAGAAATGTTGTCTTTCGTCTCGTCAATTTGAATAATGCGCAATTAAAAGACTCCCAGATGAAGAGGGGGGATTACAACCGGACCGCTTAAATACCAAACTCTTCTTAGACAGTTTAGGTCTTTTTGACAAAGTTTTTCAATTTTGCAACTATGCAAGTCAACAAAATTTAAACAACCGTATATCGAATTTTCACTAGATCATTGAAAGTTTTATTTTCAACAAATAACTTTTGTTCCAATAGAATTTAAAATTCATGAAGCAGACGAACAATA